AGAGACGGGGTTTCACCGTGTTAGCCAGGTTGGTCTCGATCTCCTGACCTCGTGATCCACCCGCCTCGGCCTCCCAAAGTGCTGGGATTACAGGCGTGAGCCACCGTGCCCGGCCACAAGCAGAAGTTTATTAACCTGCTGTACCCATCACGGGAGAGGCCTTAGTTCAAAAGTATTTCTCTCTGAAGGCAGTGGCTTAGAGGCCTTGCTTAAATAGAAATTCAAGAAAGATCCAGTAAGTTGTAAATAGTGGCAAGACAAAGGAGAGCAGTTCCAGCCTTTAAAAGACGGGAAAACGTGGGAAGAGGGTAAAATCTGTTCCCAGATTCCTCTGGCACCTACTGGTGCCCTTTGGAAAAGCAAGTGCTGTCTCCAGCAAGGAAGGGCTGGTGTCTTGCCATCAGGCCAGCAGCTGCTGGAGCCAGGTGCTCCCCTGCGTAGTGTCTCGAACTTAACGAGCCTCAATATTCTGGGGAGAAGTTTTGGTTTCTTTCAGACCCTGGGGGTCTGCCCTGGGCTCCTGGCCTCCAGGGCTGCTTCTCGGGCTGGACAGCCTGGGTGAGCCAAGCCCCGCCCCAGCTGCTTCTCGGGCTGGACAGCCTGGGTGAGCCAAGCCCCGCCCCACCTGCCCGCAGGGCGGACGCGCAGCGGCCAGGCTCGGCCAGCACCAACGTGGTCCTACGCCACGATGGCACCGTGCGCTGGGACGCACCGGCCATCACGCGCAGCTCGTGCCCCGTGGACGTGACGGCCTTCCCGTTCGACGCCCAGCGCTGCGGGCTGACGTTCGGCTCCTGGACTCACGGCGGGCACCAACTGGATGTGCGGCCGCGCGGCGCTGCAGCCAGCCTGGCGGACTTCGTGGAGAACGTGGAGTGGCGCGTGCTGGGTATGCCGGCGCAGCGGCGCGTGCTCACCTACGGCTGCTGCTCAGAGCCCTACCCCGACGTCACCTTCACGCTGCTGCTGCACCGCCGCGCCGCCGCCTACGTGTGCAACCTGCTGCTGCCCTGCGTGCTCATCTCGCTGCTTGCGCCGCTCGCCTTCCACCTGCCCGCCGACTCGGGCGAGAAGGTGTCGTTGGGCGTCACGGTGCTGCTGGCGCTCACCGTCTTCCAGCTGCTGCTGGCCGAGAGCATGCCGCCGGCCGAGAGCGTGCCGCTCATCGGTGAGCAGCGGAGGTGCGGGGGAACCTGACGATGCGCCGGGGGCCCCCCCAGGGCGGGGCCGCGACAGGGCCTGGGTCTGCCGAACGGCCCGCTTCAGAGAATGAGGCGGGGGCGTCCTGGGAACGTCCCCTAATTTTGAGGGGAAAGGATTAGCTCCTTCCAGGGAGAACACCCCTCACGACTGGGTCTTGATGGTGGAACATCAGTATCCCCAGATCCTAGTAATAGGCAAAATCCATCGACTGCTCACTGTGTGCCAGGCACTCCCCTAAGCACTTGACCTTTATTAACTCAGGTAAACATCACCACAAACCTAGGAAGTAGGTCGTCTGGTTATCCCATTTGTACAAAAAGGATTCGTATCTTGCCCCAGCTCATGCCCATCGTTATTTGAGAGTGGGACTGTCCTGGATTGTGTATGAGTGCAGCTTCCAGCAGTGAGGGGAGCAATTAGGGAGCAGTAGCTTCTGATGACCCACGTGTAGGAATGAAGGATGGGGAGAACTTGGCCCTTACCTCCTTCCTGCTTCCATCCATGGGGCTTGGAGGGTCTGGAGAGCCTCATGGTGGGCTTATTTCCATTTGTGTAGAGGTGACTGGGAAGCTCAGGATCCACAGGCTTTTTGTTTTGAGTCCCAATTGGCTTTCTCTCTCTCTTGCAGGGAAGTACTACATGGCCACTATGACCATGGTCACATTCTCAACAGCACTCACTATCCTTATCATGAACCTGCATTACTGTGGTCCCAGTGCCCGCCCAGTGCCAGCCTGGGCTAGGGCCCTCCTGCTGGGACACCTGGCACAGAGCCTGTGCGTGCAGGAAAGAGGGGAGCCCTGTGGGCAGTCCAGGTCACCTGAGTTATCCCCTAGCCCCCAGTCTCCCGAAGGAGGGGCTAGCCCCCCAGCAGGCCCTTGCCACGAGCCACGATGTCTGTGCCACCAGGAAGCCCTACTGCACCATGTAGCCACCATTGCTAATACCTTCCGCAGCCACCGAGCTGCACAGCGCTGCCATGAGGACTGGAAGCGCCTGGCCCGTGTGATGGACCGCTTCTTCCTGGGCATCTTCTTCTCCATGGCCCTGGTCATGAGCCTCCTGGTGCTGGTGCAGGCCCTGTGAAGGGTAGGACTAAGTCACAGGGATCTGCTGCAGCCACAGCTCCTCCAGAAAAGGACAGCCATGGCCAAGTGGTTGCTGGTCTTTAAGCCAGCCAGTCTCTCCCCACTGCTCCTAAGACCCTGGGACACTTGACTTCACAATCCACAAGGGAGCACTCATTGTCTACACACCCTAACTAACAGAAATCCAGAGCCTGCCACTCCCCTAATTCCAAAAAAAAAAAGAAGAACTCTACAAAGGCCAAGGTCACAGAGTACAGTCTTGGAGGGACAGAATTGTTTGTGCTGGGTACTAGAGCTCTCAGTGGAGAGCGTGCGGGTTATTATGAGAAACTGAACTGAACTGCTCCGTTTCCTGTCTTCCTTCCTAGGTGGCTTCTTTGCAGGGCCTTGGCTCTTACCTTTCCCTGCCGAGGGGCTCAGGGGAAAGGATTGGGGATTCTCAGTTGAGTTTCCAGAGCAGGAGGCCCTACAGACATTTGGCCCCAAATCCCCGACTCAATAAAGTAAGCGTGTACCTAGCACCTCCTCGATGCCCTGTACTACCCTTGAGGTCTGTGGTAGTGGAAGCTGGGGGTCCAGGTCTGTCTGTACTTCAGGTCTGTCTCATGGCCACTGGTGCAAGTCCAAGTCCAAGTTCAAAGCCTGAGAACCTGAAGTTCTAATGTCCAATGGTAAGAGAAGGATGTCCCAGCTCCAGGAAAGAGCATGAATTTGCCTTTCTCCTACTGTTTTGTCTTCTCCATGCCCTCCCACATTGAGAGTGGAACTTGCCACTTAGTTCATCAACTCACACGCCAGTCTCCTGCTGAAAACCCTCACAGACACATCCAGAAATAACGCTTTCCCAGCTGTCCATGTATCGCTGGTGTCCATGATGGTGGATTATCAGAACTTATTAATGTCACTGTCACTAAAGTTGGTATATAACCCCCACTGCTCAATATGACGAGCTTAAAAAAAAAAAAAAAGAACTTAGGCAACCTAGGGAGACCGTGTCACTACAAAAAACACAAAAATTAATCAGGTGTGGTGGCACGTATCTGTAGTCCCAGTTACTTGGGAGGCTGAGGTGGGAGGATCTCTTGAGCCCAGGAGTTTGAGGCTACAGTGAGCCATGATGAGAGGAGCCTCAGGACTCATGGATTAGAGCAGAAGTTACATCTGTGCTGACAAAAGAATGGGACTTGGCTGAGGTGCTGATGGAGGACTAGAGCTCTCTCTTCCATCTCTCCTTCTCTCTGTGTGCTGGAGTTAGGCACCGTCCACCCCATTCTCACACTCGGACACTGAGAACTTGACAGTGTCCAAGGCAGGGGCAGTGCAGGGACCAGCCATTCACAGGTATTTGTTCCTTTCTGAGTTTCACACATTTCCTGGCACTACCTCTGTGCCTCTGACCCAGTCCCTTCCCTCAGGAAGCTCACAGTTTGACATGGCAGACAGACATGGACATGTGGTATACGGAAGCATTCAGGGCTCTGTGGAAGCACAGAGGCAGGGTCACTACCCCAGCTGGGTGGGAGAGGTCACAGAAGGCTTCCTGGAGGAGTGAACAAGAGCTTTCCAGATGGACATGTGAGGCATCTGAGTAACACCAACAGGTATCACTGCGAAGTGCTTTCCTCTCCAGTCACCCCCCAAATCAACTGAAGTCTTTCTATCTCCAAGTGAGTTGCTGCCTGTCTTGAAGTACCCCCCACACCGCCGGCCCAACCCTTTATTCAGAGTCTCACTCCTAGAGCCCTGGGTAAGGTTCAGTCCCCAAATTGTCTCCTGTTTCTCCACCAGCAGGTCTGGCAGCTACCAGAGAAGGTCCCAGAGTTCCCTGCAGATGGGGTTGCCAGGAATCTTGGTTACACTGAAAGCACACATTGCCAACATCCTCAGGATGGGCAGAGGCAGCAGGTGAGGCTGTCCCGTGTCTCATGCATCAAAGGAGGCCTGGACTGTCTGGAAAGGCCCTCACTGCGAGGAACCAGAGCAGCAGCAGCAGAGACGAAACTGCAGAGAGGGGGCTCTGACCCATGGCTGCAGAGAAAACAGGCAGAGAGGTTTTGGGAGAGAGAGAGAAAAAGAGGTATTTAGGAGCACAGGAGCAAAGTGGGGACACACAGATTCAAGGTGGAGAGATTGGCAGAGTGAGCTGGACAGACTGATATACAAAATTGCCACAGGCAACAGAGATAAAGATCAAGTTTAGGGAGGCGCTGGTCCAATGGTAATGTGTTATCAGAACTTACACTAGTGTCACTAAAGTTGATGTACAATGCCCCCACTGCTAAATTTGACTGCTTTAAACAATTTTAGGCAACCCGGGCAACATAGGGAGACCCCTTCTCTATAAAAAATACAAAAAGTAGCCAGGCATGGTGGCATATATCTGTAGTCCAAGCTACTTGGGAGACTGAGGTGGGGGGATCACTTGAGCCCAAGAGTTTGAGGCTACATTGAGCCGTAGTGGTGCCACTGCACTCCAACCTGGGTGACAGAGTGAAAAAAAAATTTTTTTTAATAAAGAATTTAGGAAGGTAGACAGAGACGAGGAGACCAATTAGAGTCCCAGTTTCTCTTCCAGAGGTCATTGTGTCTAACTTAACTGCTTTCTATTGCCACAAATAAGGTGCTTCAGAGTGGGATTTAACGTGGATTTAAGATCAGAGTAGGATCTACTGTGGCTGAACTTGGCTCCTTTGCCCAAACCCTGGTAGGAGAGGTGTGGGGTGGACTAGAAGGAGAAATCCTAAACTTTTCCAGTTACTGGAATTATATCATCAAAACTCAAAGATGCCTGGGAGGCTGGAAACTTGGCTTCTGATCCTGGCTCTGCCATGAACTCACTGTCACCTTGAGCAAATAATTTGTCTCTGGGTCTCACTTGACCATATGAAATGGGTAATGCCTCCTGTTCCGCCTCCTTCCCATAGATTACTGTGCAATAAAGATGGATGGGATGGGATGGGATGGGATGGGACGGGACGGGACGGGACGGGACGGGACGGAACGGGACGGGATGGGATGGGATGGTGTCTGGGGAGGGATATCCTGGTGTGGTGGTTCAGAGTTTGGCTCTAGAGCCAGGCTCTCTGGACTCCACTTCTTAGTAGCTGGGTGGCACAGGGCTGCTTGCTTCTCCTCTTTGCACCTTTGATGTTTTTGTTTTTGTTTTGTTTTGTTTTGGGACAGAGGTTCACTCTTGTTGCCCAGGCTGGAGTGCAATGGCACAATCTTGGCTCACAGCAACCTCCGCCTCCTAGGTTCAAGAGATTCTCCTGCCTCAGCCTCCCAAGTAGCTAGGATTACAGGCATGCACCACCACGCCCAGCTAATTTTGTATTTTTAGTAGAGACGGGGTTTCTCCATGTTGGTCAGGCTGGTCTCGAACTCCTGACCGCAGGTGATCCGCCCATCTTGGCCTCCCAAAGTGCTGGGATTACAGGCGTGAGCCACCGCGCCTGGCTTCTCTTTGCACCTTTGTACCTTGGTACTGTCATCTGCAGAACAGAGGTGATGACAGTACCATTGGGGCGTGGTGAGAATGAATGGCATGATGTGCCTGGAGTGGATCAGAGGAAGCTGGGGGGTCCTTCCTGCCCACTTACAGAGTTCTGAAGGACAGAGGAGTTCTAAAGGCTTGGGGAGGAGCTGCTGTTTCTTCCCTGGAAATGGCCCATTCCCACCTAGAGACATGGTGACCTGGGTAGGCCTTGGCACACCAAGTGTCTGAGGGAAGAGAAGAGTCACAGCTGGAGATCATCTGGTCCAATTTGCTTATTATACACACCGAGAAACTGAGGCACAGAGAAAGAATGGGTTGGTCATAGAGAAAGAGCAGAGCCTGGACTAGAGCCCAGGCCTCCAGCACCCAAAGCTGGCCTTCAAAGGTGGGTTTGAGGGAGCCCTGAGGGCAGTAACAGAGACAGTGGGTTCTGCACTGGGAGGCAGAGAAGGACCAAAGGAGGACGTTGCGGGGAGCAGCCCTTCCATCCCTCACTTCACTGCAGCCTGAATCTCTCAGGGGCCTGATCAGTGGCCTTTTCCTGCAAAGGACAGGCAGACCCAGGCTGGAGAGCAGGTGTCTCTGCTCCCCCAACCATCTGCTCTCCCACACACTCATCTCTTGGCTAAGGCTGGCAACCCCCAAGGTGCCACTTCAGTGAGTGCACTTTTTTTATTATTATTATTAATGAGGTTGTTTCCTTATAAAAGATCCAGGTGGGCCGGGCACGGTGGCTCACGTCTGTAATCCCAGCACTTTGGGAGGCCAAGGTGGATGGATCCCCTGAGGTCAGGAGTTCGAGGCCAGCCTGGCCAACATGGTGGGCAGGGAGACAGCAGTTGGGTGCTGTGCCCCTAAGGTCCAGCTCAGGCTGTGGTCTCTACTAAAAATACAAAAAATTAGCCAGGCGCGGTGGCATGCGCCTGTAATCCCAGCTGTAATCAAGAGGCTGAGGCAGGAGAATGGCTTGAACCTGGGAAGCGGAGGTTGCAGTGAGCTGAGATCGTGCCATTGCACTCCAGCCTGGGCAACAAGAGTGTAAACTCTGTCTTAAAAAAGAAAAAAAAAGATCCAGGTGATGGGGTCAGGGATGAACTGAGTCCCACGGGTGCCTGCAGCCCTTACCTGAATTATCCAGATGGCAAGGCCCAGACTTGCACTTCTTGTCTATAGAAAAGAAACAGTAAAGAATGAAAGGCTCAGGAGCTCTCAGGATGGAAAGGGACCTCAGAGCCCTGGTGGTCCATTCCTGACTTGTTCTAGGAGAAGTTGGTACATTTCCCCCTAATTCTGCTCTTTCATGGTGGAACTTCCTCGACTAGGTTTGCCTCAACCCATGAGAAGCAGGGCCAGAAGGGAGTGGGCCATCAAAGCCAGGGTCGACTCTGGGGCACTCCTGCTCCCTGGGCCTGTAACTTTGCCTCCCTGCCACACTCACCTCTCCCTCTTCCATGCCTCGCCCCAGCCTGGTTTGTGTTCTTTGCATGCCCTCCTCACCTTATGTCAACTCATGCATGCTCCTGTTGCTGTCCAAGATAGGAAGTGAAGTCCTTAGCCCTTCAGAAATTAAGAACCTGGGCCCATTCCCGTGGTTCTTCTTCTGGCCTGTGCTGGGGACATGGACAGGAGGAGCGTCCACCACTTCCCGACCACAGCCTGAGTGTGACCTTAGGGGCACAGCACCCAGCTGCTGTCTCCCTGCGCCCACCACCCCACCCAGCACAGAATTCTTCTTCCAGCTCATCAATGCACTCTTCTCAGAAACTGAGGTTGGGGCTCCTACTCATTTCTGGCAACAGCTATTTAGGTATCAATAATCTGGCTGGAAAATAATTCCCTTCCAGCCTCTGACCAGGAGAAAAGCCCGACCAGGCCTGCTTGCCCGCCCAAATGGTCAGAGACCCCTCCCTTGGCCAGGAAACCTTTCCAGCCACCCAGCAGGCAAGTGGCCAACTATGGCTTAGATCCCTTCAAGGGCAGTAAGTGCACCCCTCAAAAGGTTATGTCTCCCCTTAGATGGAAGGG